CCAAAGATTTTACCTACCCAATAGTGAAATCCTGCAAATAAAGCAAAAACGGCTCCCATAGAAAGTACATAATGGAAATGTGCAACCACATAATAAGTATCATGTAGAGCAATGTCTAGCCCAGAATTTGCCGGAACTATTCCAGTGAGTCCCCCTATGGTGAACAAAAATATGGACCCTACAGCAAATAACATGGGTGTTTTGTATTGTATCGAACCCCCCCACATGGTAGCGATCCAACTAAAGATTTTGATTCCAGTGGGGACAGCTATGATCATGGTAGCTGCGGTGAAGTAGGCACGGGTATCAACGTCTAAGCCCACAGTAAACATATGATGAGCCCAAACAAGAGATCCAGGAACACCTATACTGATCATGGCATAAACCATGCCTAGATACCCGAAGACCGGTTTTCCCGAAAAAGTAGAAACGATATGACTTATGATACCGGATCCAGGCAGAATGGGAATATACACCTCTGGATGACCGAAGAACCGAAAGAGATGCTGGTATAATATGGGGTCTCCCCCTCCAGCGGGATCAGAAAAGGTTGTATTAAAGTTTCGATCGGTTAATAACATGGTAATTGCCCCTGCCAGTACCGGAAGTGATAATAAAAGTGGGAATGCTGTCACTAGAACGGACCACACAAATAGGGGTGATCTATGCATAGTCATTCCAGGTCCACGCATGTTGGAGATAGTTGTTATAAAATTGATAGAACCTAAAATGGATGAAATACCAGATAGATGAGGACTAGAAATTGCTGAATCAACTGCTCCTCCAGAATGGCTGGTAATACCACTTAAGGGCGGATAGACCGTCCACCCAGTGCCACTACCCACTTCTACTAAGGCTGGGCTTAATAGGAGCAAGAGACTTGGTGGCAACAACCAGAATGAAATATTATTTAATCGTGGAAATGCCATGTCAGGCGCACCTATCAGAATCGGAACAGACCAATTACCAGATCCACCTATCATCGCCGGCATAACCATAAAAAATATCATTAAAAAAGCGTGAGCCGTTATTAAAACATTATAAAGTTGATGATTCCCACCAAGAATTTGATCGCCGGGTCGTGCTAATTCCATACGAATCAGTACTGAGAAGCATGTGCCCATCACTCCAGCAATGGCACCAAAGATGAAATATAGAGTCCCTATATCCTTGTGGTTAGTGGAGAACAGCCATCGGACCGGATTTGTCATAAAATTGAGATTCTTTCGTTTTTTTGCTCCGCTTTAGGCTATCTTTGTTTAGGTAGCTTAAAGACTCTTTTCTTTAGCAAGACCAACAGTCTTACTTAATGAGGGTAGCTTGGCGGTTAACCAAGAAAAGCATGGGATTTTTACTTGCACTTGGAATGCAAAAGCATTCTTTTCAATCTTGTACCTTGGCCCTCCTGCCGTCGTTTCAGTGAGTCATAGGGCTTCCCCTCAGCTCAGTCTTTTTGGTTCTTGAGAATGGTCGCCACCTCTCCCAGGACCGGAATGATTATCCCTGCCCGATGGGTCTACATCCATCCCTGAATGTCGTCGGGTACTGTTAACTTCCCCGCCATTCTTGTAACTGTCACCTGTAATCCGCGCAGGTGTGTCCGCACCCCCTGAGTGGACGAGAAAGAAAGGATTTCTCGGAGCAACCCCCCAGGTTCCAGACCCAGGAGTCAACTTTCCCGTATGAGCATTCGGTAAATGTATCAGTCCGTGGAAGAGTGAAAGGGTCATCACTACTGAGGATCTCCCCCCTAATCTTAGATAGGTCGTCTGGGGGTTCGCCGCGGTTCATTGCTGTGCTTACACACTAGGCTACCCTTTTCCGAAAGCTCCGCGGGACCACCTACCACTAGTCTTCGGCCGGAGGGGTTTATTGCACAAAAACGCCGGGACGCAGGCTCCCAGAGGGAAGCCCAACGAATGTCAGATGCAAAGCCCCGCACCTCATTAAGATCATATTGGCATACTCTCCCAAAAAAGAAAGAGCAGACCCCATTGAAGACGAGAGTGAGGTACAACAAGGCCATTTCTGTCCACCGCCCTTCTCACGGAGCCGTACGTGGACGTTACCGCTCATACAGCTCCCAGCCAGCAAGCAGTTAGCCTTCCTCTACAAGGAATGGAAGTGTGGGTGAATCGACATCAAATAGAGGAATTCGCTTTTTCTTTTCAGCAATAACATGGTAAGAGCATCCCTTTCACAAAAACCTACAGACCCCCCCTATCCTGCCACTTCAGCACCTTGTGATCTTCTCAAAGATCATTACGAGCCCTCTCCTAGAATCTTTTTTTATTTCGAAAAAAATTGCATGGTGGATCAGGACGAGAATGAATCCGGTAATCCAGGACATACTCATCCTGGAGCTTATGCTCTCCTCTGGGGAGGGGGTTTTTATAGAGAGGTAAGTCGAGGGTAGCCTCCCGCTTGACCGATTTCTCGGAGTCGGAGGAAGATCTCTCATCCGATCATCCTGAACACGAGGGAGCTGCTCTCGATGTGAGATCAGCAGCAAAAGAAAGAAGAAAAGGGCCATGATCCTATGTTCGTTTTCGCCCTGCTCTGATGATGCGCTCCTTGCTCGCGGAGCTACATACCGGAAAAAGAAAAGGATCTCTCTATTACTTTGAGAGGAGAATCATTGGTTTGACCGACGGACTACGTGGGAAATACGAGATCTAGGCAAGCCGCTACATGTTCTCCCCTTGCCCTTGAACGATAGAAGAACTACTTATCTTCTCTTAGGTAGCGGTCGACCGGTTCGCATCTATGGTCAATCAAGAGGTCCGCGGATCCATTCTTCTATACGATAAATCGCCATCTCGTAGCACCACCACGACACCGATTCCCTGACAAAACCCTCGATTTCCCGAGAGTTAGATAGCCGATAGTAGTAGAAGCTCTAAGGCCGCTATTCCTGACAAGGAATAGAGTAAGGCCTTTACCGATCCTGAGTTAATGAGTTAAGGAGTTTTTTTCTAAACGACTTATCTGAAAGAAGGCTTTGCAATCAACGAATTCTTTGATTTGAAAAGCTCCTTTCCTAATCGACCTTCCGCCTTCCGTTATTTGATCTTTTTATGGGTCTTCTTATCTTATTAAGTAGCTAAATGAAGTATCATCAATTGAGAAATGACAATAAGTGATGTTCGATATCGCTTCTGCGCGCGGAGTATCGAAAGGAACCTCTCGGAGAAGTTCCGGGCCTCGGCAGCCCTCCTTTCTTATCTATTTTCATATATAATATAAAGAGAATAGAAAGCGTACTGACTCTGACTGCTATCTACGATGCGATCAGGGGGGAATAGCGCAAGGGCTTAAGTCATCGATTCAAATCCTATCTTTTTTTCGGTATGCCGCTCCGCGAGCAGAGCGAATGACAAAGATATATAATATAAGGCTTCCTTTTTTTTGGTTTCATTTTCAGTCATTCTTCTTTTTACTATTTTAGCAACTTTGCTAGAAGTAAAGCTTCTCAAGTGGTGTTTTCAATTCTTTGATTATTTAGTGTTCGATTTAGACTTAAACATCCACGATGATCTCCTGTTATTACTTGTCTTGGTTTTGGTTTTCGTATCACGGATCTTGGTTCGCGCTTTATGGCATTTCCAATAAGTGTAGGAATTCATGGGTACCTGGGATCACTTGGACCATTTCCACTCTGTGTTGTCTTCTTGACCTTTGCTCTGAGTGGTTGGTCGAACACGCAGAATGTGCAGGAGAGGAGGGTTCCTCAAATGCCCAACTCGATTTGGACTTAACTCTGCGCCCGCCGGGACCAACAGCAGAGGAAATAGAAAGGGAGCTTTCCTCTTTTCTTTCTTCCTTTGGAAATAGGGGAGTGACCTCGAGTGTACTCCAAAATACTAAGATTAAGCTACAATTGGACGTCGCGCCCCCCGCGAAGCTTTTGAAGATCCGGGAACTTATGCAGGATCTCCAAAGCAGACCGGTTCCTGCTTTCCAAGCGAGAGATGCTTTATTGAAAGCTCTCGCCCAATGGGAGAGGGACCAGATGCGTGATCCATGAGGTTGGCCGCCCAGCGTCGGCTCTACGAACTAACAAGGGGTCGGTCGCGAGAGATAGAAGGGGTGGTCCGGCGGGTAGGCTGGAGGGGGCTCGTCAGGGGGAGCAAATCGAGAAGTCCTTCGAAAGATAGGGCTTCCCGGATAATTTTTTTTCTTTCTATTTGGAAACAAAGGACCATAAGTATAATTAGACACTTCGTCTTTATTGTTCCACTAGCTAGGATAAAATTATCATATGTCCCTTTCATTATTACAACCTTCTTTTTTGATGTCAAAGACCAGAAGCTACGCGAAAATTTTCATTGGATCTCGGTTGTTCTTAACAGCGATGGCTATTCATTTAAGTCTTCGGGTAGCACCACTAGACCTTCAACAAGGTGGAAATTCTCGTATTCCTTATGTACACGTTCCTGCGGCTCGGATGAGTATTCTTGTTTATATCGCTACGGCTATAAACACGTTCTTGTTCCTATTAACAAAACATCCCCTTTTTCTTCGCTCTTTCGGAACCGGTACAGAAATGGGTGCTTTTTCTACGTTGTTTACCTTAGTTACTGGGGGGTTTCGGGGAAGACCTATGTGGGGCACCTTTTGGGTGTGGGATGCTCGTTTAACCTCTGTATTAATCTCGTTCCTTATTTACATGGGTGCACTGCGTTTTCAAAAGCTTCCTATCGAACCGGCTCCTATTTCAATCCGTGCTGGACCGATCGATATACCAATAATCAAGTCTTCAGTCAACTGGTGGAATACATCGCATCAACCTGGGAGCATTAGCCGATATGGTACATCAATACATGTTCCTATGCCCATTCCAATCTTGTCTAACTTTGCTAACTCCCCCTTCTCAACCCGTATCTTGTTCGTTCTGGAAACACGTCTTCTTATTCCATCTTTTCTCGAATCTCCTTTAACGGAAGAAATAGAAGCTCAAGAAGGAATACCAAAACCTAGTTCACTCGCTGAGTCTCTTTGCATCCATGGCTGAATGGTTTAAAGCGCCCAACCGGGCAAATTCGTAGGTTCGATTCCTGCTGGATGCACTTTTTAAGTTCAGTTCAATCGCTGCTCACGGAATTGATACATATAGCTCGCCCTTATAGCTTATGGGGCACTTCACTCGCTCAACACTTGTTCAAAACATCCACTCTTTCTTCACTCGCTAGGGAAAGATAAAGGATAGATGACTGAAAATCCCGCTTAGAGATCGCAAAACTATAGTCAGAGTAGGAGTTCCCATCCGTCGAGGCCTCGTTTTACCTGCCCTTGGGACTGGAACTGATTGGTTGCTTGTTGTGACAGCCAAGGTCTGAACATTGTCCCACTTCCCTCATCGGGTTCCTCTCTGTTCATCATGGGGTTGTTGGGATAAAGGTGGGTTTGAGACGCGCGGCGGGTACTCTTGATGCGAAAGGATATGGATCTAGAAGCCGAGATCAAAGCGTTAGTTCAAGATAAGAGCCCTTACGAACCAAGGCTTCTAAAGTTGCCAGAGGGTCCATCATCAAGAATGGCCTAAGATGGCCAGAAGCATTCCTAACAATGCTAGCCACAGCGGAATACTCCGGCAAAACGGGTCGCCATTTCGCGGAATCGAACGCCCTAAGAGGAAGATTTCATTTGCTTTATGTTTCGTGGAACGAAGTTGATCCATGGTCATCGGGATGTCTATGTTGAAAGAGAACCTAACCTGAAGAGTCATTGGTTTTCCAGGTCGGAAAATTAAGTAAACAACTCAGGTGGACAAGAGGCGAACCACTCAGCTGATGAGTCAGCTATACTTTTTTTAAAATAGCCTAATGAGGAGACGATCGTAACCTCTGAGCTCAAAGATGGAAAGCAGATTCCTTTTTTCAGGTTTTGCATAGCTTCCCAAGCGCCCGGCTTTCTTTTTGGGTTCCGAAAGGCAGAGTAGCTTCAGCATCGAGTAGGGTATGGGATAGAGTTCGAGTGAGGCATCAACCATAGATTGCGGAACTTTCGAGATGCTTCCTTGCGAAAGCCAACGGAGTCTGTACTGTAACTCAACCTTCTCATCCATGGAAGGATTCCTTATTCGATGATAAATGTCAATCGAGGGCACCTTCATTTCCAGAGAGAGAATCAGGCTGCACAGAAGGGGGAAAGCCCTCCTACTGAGCAAGATCATTAATTAATATTAATAAGGAAGCACTTAACTTAGGGCAGCCAGTCTCACTTCACACAGCACAGCGCCTTGCTATTTGCATTCATCCTTGTAACTTACCGAAGCGAGGATCTCATGCTATCATTGAACGGCTACCGAACCGCCATACTCAGGTAACCGGTCTAGGTTCCAAGTACATCAACACCCCATAGCTACTTAGGGCCGCAACGCAATAAGGCTTTTCGCTCTAGTTGGGCAATGCAAGGAGGCCTCTTTCGCCATTCTTTCTAAATGATAAACTATTATTAGTTCAGTTCGGTAGAACATCGATGATAGGATAATTTTTTCACAGAAGCATATGATTGCCCCTCAATCGCCAGGTGGCTCGCTCCAGGTGCATGACTAGCTTTGCTGGCTCTTATACGAAAGGTACCAGCCTCTTTCAGTGGTTCTTGCTTGCTCTTTAAAGCTGATCTGGTGCTGTCTCGTTCCTTCAGTTTGTTCTGATTCCGATGAAGGATACTATATTCCGCCTACACAACTACCTTGCTTGGTGGTTCAAAATGGAAGTCTAGGTATCTGCTTAAGTGGTCTGCTCGTACCGTTCCAAAAAGAGCTGCGCTGACAGGCGTATTTTAAAATGTGTTTCCGGGCTCACATATCTAAATTTCAGCGAGATAGGGTGCGGATAGGTGGAATGGAAATTCCACTCCAATCCCTTTAATGGATCCCCGAAGGAGACGGGTGCAAATAGAATTTCAATCAAAGGCGCTATGACCACTGAGCATGCCAACAAGGCAAACTCAGAAAATCGTCTCCTGTCCCAGGTCACTGAAAGGGAGATACTCGCAGCCGAGCTCTCGCCCCACTCCTGCTGCCAACTTCGTGATAGAACGACCATGCGAAGGGATACGGATAGGCTGCCTCCCACACTTAAGGCATTGTGTTACACCTTAAATGTCTGGATTTTAGCGTTATTGTCAAGCATCTCATTCACTACTAAAAGAAAGGTATGGATATTCTGCTCGAAAGCTTGACGAAGAAGCGTAAGCAAAAAGCATATTTTAGGAAAGAGGTCCAGCAGCTGGTTACAGCTAATGAATGAAAAAACGTGTGTGCCGATTTAGATTTCCCGTCTTAAGCCCCACCTCGGTAGCTCAGCGGCGGCCTCTTGTATAGTTCAACAGGTAGTCGGACGTGGGTTCAAATCCCGCTCGAGGGAAAAAACAGAGAGAGCAGCGAAGGGCCTTTCCTCGCTTCTGTCTTTTTTTTTATAGATCAGTTCAGTCTGTAAACAAGCAGGTGATTTTTAGCCGGGAAACTGTAAACTTTCGAAAGCAAGCTCACCCACTCTCCCCCAGTGGTTAAACTCTAGGATCTGATTTGAATTCCATATTAAAGAAAAGTAGACATCTGCGGCCTAAAACTACACGGGTGGATAGATTTACGGCTACTACTTCCCGATCTGATTTCACGGATTTGTACTTGACTTTATATATGAAATAGCTATGTGACCACTCACACTTACTCCTACCTCTTATGAGTCCAGAAAGACAAAGACATTGAAGCAAGCAGGGCTTAAGTGCCTCTCTTACTCTCACCGAAGCGGAAGCAATTGACGAATTCGACTTGAGCCCAGATCTGGATGATTCACCATTGGCCCAGAGAAAGGACTTGCTTGCACAGGTGCCCTCTAGTAATAAAAATCTAATAAGAGAAAGCGGAAACGTAGACACTAATTGATTCTTTCGTTCGGGAATGCCTGCGATTCTACTAAGATAAGCTATTTCTTTCTGGTGGCATCATAGAATCTTAACTTATGTTCCAAGGTTGCTCTGAGCACTTACGATTGATCGATGAATTGCCCTATTGAGTAAGGGTCGGGTCGGTGTTTGCAAAAATGTCGAGCCGACGGGGTCAGGTACCAGTAGTGACAATGGCAAAGGGGGGAGCAGGACACTCGTTGTGCTAGTGGAATGACCCAACTGGACCTAGTCAGCCCGAACCGTTTTGCGGTTCTAAAGGACCCTGAACAAGAAGAGGCAAAGATGCCAGATCTGGACACTGCGGAACCGGAAGAGATTGCTCAGGATGAATGTCTGGGTAACAAAGCCGAGGAGGTGTAGTCAAGGAGATAACTCCCGAGGAGAGTGATTGGCCCCAAAGAAGGGAGGATCTGGAAGAGAGGGTTGATACTGGGTCAACTATGGCAGTGACTGAGGGGGACTTGCTCTGTGATAAACATTTTTTTGACTCCAAACAAGAACCTCAGGGCAGCCAATCCTAAGAAAAGAGGTGAACCTGAGAAGAGCAGTAAGAGTAAGCGTTCAGGTGCTGGTGCTATGACCTTAAAGGTGGAAGATCCTTCTCTTTCTCTGTGAAGATAGACTGCCTGCTGTTTATGCGTGTCAAGTGCGCCTATAATAAGAAAGGTCCATCAAGACTCAGAAATTACCCTCGATCTTTTCAATCCCTCTAGTAGAGAATTCTTAGCCTTCGTCTTAGAAACTGAGCTCTCACAAAGCAACTCATTACTTATTGTTTACACACACTTTCTATTTTACTTAGCCTACTTCTTTATCATTAGATCAATTAGGCAGGGGAAGACTCTGTGTACTAACTTTCTCTTCTTTCTTCTTCTTTGAAATCCCTTGCCACTTCCCTTCTTTGCTAGCACGTACCTGTCTTTGCTTTGCACAAGAGATCCCCCTACTCTTCACACCCCTCTAGTCCTGATCTTGCTTATGCATTACTTGGGAAGGATTGCCCTATCCCTTTGTTGGGGGCTTTGGCTACCCTACCTCATTCCCTTCACAAGCCAAGGACAAGATGAATCTATTGCCCTGCCTCCAAGAGAAGAAATGGCACCAATCGATTCAATAGAAGGCATTAAGCAGACAGAGCGAGAAGAGAGGATATCCTTTATCCTGTTGCAGCTTTCATGAAGGCTTCCATTGAAGAATCGAAAGAATCTACCCAGTCTAGGGCTGAAAAGGGGGGGGCTAAATGCAGAGACAAGGCAACTGAGGATAGTGACTTTCTCCTGTAATGAATAGAATAGGCCCGAGAGCTATGAAAGGAGAGAGTTTCCTATTCCATATTCCGGTTGACCAATTCGCGCAGTATCCAATCCAGAATATAGGCTTGCTTTTGCCCTCTCCCGAGATTTCAAAGTTGGTAATGTTAGAAGGTCGGTATTTTATGGTCAGATACCTAAGGTCGGTATATCTTTGAAAGCTCAGACGGGGTAAACGGACTCCTCGAGGGCTACTTAAGCCACTTTAGTGCAAACCAGAAGGACTGGAGCTGTTGGATGTTGCTGAGTGCTGCTATAACTTAACAACCAAAAAGCTCTGCGTCGAACTTCAGCCCCTTCGAGTTGGCCACGGGGCAACAGCCTCTGACGCCCCACACCATTGCGACAGGAGGGGGCTTTCCCAGCAGCCTACTTTGCCAAGAGGTGGCAGGAGCGCAACGACCTAGCCCAAACCTACTTAAACAACCTAAAGGCTTGGCCCGGTCTGAAGGAAGAAGAAAGTCAACCTTGTAGAAAAGCAGATAGAAGAGGTAGCCTATAGACTCAAGCGACGAGCTCGGTGAAAACTCACCCCGTATTCCATGTGAGTCAGTTGACTTCGATTAGACCAGACCGACCCAGAGAGGAACGTGCCCACGAGGGCACCACCAGATGTTGTAGATGAACCTACTAAAGACGAAATTTAGTATATCATAGCTGACCGCACCACGGGCTAGCCCCTACACCCACTGCACGAGTGGAATATTACTTAGTCAAGTAGAAAGGAACAAGGTCTTACGGCACGGTCACTATATCTTTTCTTTTTCTTTATCTCTCCTCTATGGAAAGAAAGAGGGGATGATACGTGGCGTGGTATACCTGATCGTTTAGTCAACGAGACG